ACTACGCTCGTTGCTAAAGCTTGGTTTCGTCGCGGAACAGCGCATCAAATTGCGGCCGCTATTTCTGATATTATTTTTCTGCTAAAACTTCGTTGACCTTTGGAGACATCATTAATATAAATAATTTTTATGGCCGTTAAATAAGAAATGTTTCTTTCACAAGAAATGTATAAAATTACAGTACTAAACAGACGATAGGTCGCCTAACTCGCCGTAGCGTGACGCTAGACGGCGAAAAATATATATTTAATTATAATAAAGTTACAATAAATTAAGTTAATATATAATTATATATACAGTACCTAATTTATATATAATTAATATATAATTATATGTACAGTACCTAATTTATATATAATTTATATAATACTGTCCAGACGATAGAAATCTCTCCGTAGCGTGGCGCTACGGACGGCGGGTAAGTAGTTCGGCTGCCCGATGACGTTTTACGTATTATAGGAGTTATTTTTACCGTTGTTTACGGATAATGCCACAATTTTTATAGGAATCATAACTATAGGAAACGCTTTTATAGGGGGATCTACTGTACTAATATACTATTATTGGGATATACTAATATACTATACTAGCTGCAAGGACCCGCTTTGCTGGACAAAAAGTAACGATAGTGAAGATTAAGATAATTACATTATAGCCAATCTTACCCATTTTCACAGAATGCAAGAATTAGGTCCCCCCATTTCCAGACTAATTAGAGACCTGGTCCCGATTCTATTTCTGAACATCTCCTGTTCACGTCCAGTCAAACGAACTATTTTCAACGTTTCTGGAATGTTTACAATCGTTCTATAATCAAACCAATATTCGAATTTTATGTTCGAATTAAATTCGAACATAACATTCGAAATAGAAAACTACTTTCAGCCCCATATCTTCTGCACCCTCATAGCTATCGAGACGCAACCACCATAGTGCATGAATGGAGACTCGGGGCTACTATCACATACAAACACCATTCATGTGCGATGTGTAGTTTTGGCTGAAAAGTGAAATATAGGGACACACACGTCCATTTTTATATATATAGATTAATAATGTATTTTTTCGTACATAATCGGTTATCTGAAAAATTGATTTTCCGAACAACCCCAGTCCCCAATTGATTTGGATAATCGATGCTCTACTGTATATATATTGTTTATGCAAAATAAAAAATAATTTTAGATGATACGATAGCCAGGATTATTTTTTTCAAAAACAGGAAATTTTCGTTAGGCATCGACAAAAATTCAACCGGGGCAACATGCAACGTTGAGAAATTTCAAAATTGGATAGGTTAATTTCACCAAAAATGCATCATGGATTAGCTTGTAGTCGTGGCCAGTGAAGTTTGAAAGATTGTGCTCAAAACCAGCGATGCCAAAGAAGATTGGAGAATGAGACCCACCTTGAGTGTCAAAGTGATTCCACTTAGTGGTGAGTCTCCGAGACATAGTCTTGTCCCAAATATGGCCTTGCCATTTTACTTGTTTTATTAAAAATGACATTGGCACCAATACCAAAACTGTACATAATGAAAATCCTCAACACCACTATCACAGCTTTTGACATCAGATCGATTACGTGATGTCTCTGATATTACTCTTTTCCTTAGTGAAATAATTACAAATGTAAAATGTAGTCATTGAATGAAGGTTTCATACTTTATTGTTTCGTGTACATCTAAGATAAAATGATAATAATTTGAAATGATTGATCTATTCATTCTTGATGGCAGTTTCTGTACAGTGGAAGCATGCTTAACGTTCCAAATGCCATTGTTGAACTTCTACACTTACAGGATGGCAGTGCTGAACGTCCCACATTCACATTTTTGTGATAAAAATGTTGGCCCCATCAGATGTTTCTGGCACATCCTGTATTATTTCAAATATAATTTGATACTTATATGCAAATTCTGTATGCTTTCATGCAGTGTACATAATTCTTAACATTGAAAAGTAAGACACTAGATATTTATATTAATTGTTTAGATAGGATGATATAATCAATAAATCTTTTAGGATATGGAACTTCCTTACAGTATTTTAATTTAATCATATCAATTGTGACAATATATAGTTGAACAAACAATTTAGTCAAATAGAACTAAACACCTTAAATTAATAGTGAAAAAATTATATATATTATATTTATATTTTTCATCAGCAAGCCAGCATGATAAACTTGATACTTGAGATAGCCTTCTAACTAGATATCAAAAAGATTCAGATCTGATGAATAAGTTGGCCAGTGTCAAGTCTAGAGAAATTATCATCAAATTTTGAATATAATTGACATCCTCAGAGGGCAAAATGCACCAAATTGACCATGTGTCATTCATGCCAGAAATTACAAAATGAAATAAATTTGCAACACTGTAATATTTATGAACTTGATCATTTTTGAGTACAGGTCAAAAGTATCAAAATAGTCATCTCATTCACTAGTACTGCAATAAGGTATCAACCATCTTGTTGAGTGCATCTGTCAATCTCAAACTATGTCATCTTAGATTCCTTACATATACCTTTTTAGACATCAATATTCTTGAAGTGTGGAATTGGAATTGCTATGATTTTGATGGAACAGCTTTATCAACAGTGTACATTCCTTTTTTTGGTGGTGTTTTTTCTGGGAAAGAATTTTAGATGGTTAATCTTCAATGTTAGCTAGTTGTTGCTACTACAGATATTAATTGATTGTTTGGTTTCTAAGCAAAACAAAATGATACTCATACTTAATTGCATACTAATCATGTTTGAAAATGCTATATTTTTATTTTAACTGGTTGGTGGAAATATTTAGCTGGTGAATCAACCAGCAAAAACAAGCACTGTGATATCATTTCAATTAATTTCTTCTCCAAAGACTGGAGAGCAGGAAAACTTTAGAATTGTATATAACTAATTTACATAATTTATTTCATTTATCAATTAATGTAATGATTGGTCTGTTATGAAGTTTTTATCTTGCAATTAGAGTAAACATTTAAATGTTTATCACAAAAAATTGTACATTATCATGTTCTTGATAAATTTTATGAAGCTAAAACTAAAATTCATTGTTTTTTCAGAGATACTTGTTTCCAGAAAAACAAGCCATTATTATTGAAGAGATTCAACATCTGTTGCAATATGATACGTTAGCAAAGACAACTGCTGAAATTGCAAATGAAGTTACCAATTCAGAGTGTAAAAATGATTAGAATGATGATAGGGAATTTATTGTTAAGAAAAATGTGTAAAATTGTTAAATTTGAAGTTAAAATATATACATTGAGATGATGAATTTAAAATGTATAAAACTATGTTATTTTCTAATGTATGTAAAATTTAAAAAATTAAAATATATAAATGAATAACATTGCACAGATTTAAAAAAAAAATATTTTTTTAATTCTGATAAATGAATAATTTAGAGGAACAGAAAAAAAAATCATTTCTGTTTTTCTTACACAATGACAAGATTTAATGAAATAGTTACTCTTTTTGTAAATACATAATTTATCAAGCATAAATCTTAAAATCTAGTAAAATATAGGTTAAAAAGATGTGCTGTACAAATACATTTGATGGAAAAGTTTGTTTGCATTTTACATTATCCAAAAATGTGTGTGATGAATTAAGAAATAAATTATTGCTTTGGTTGTAAAAAACCTTTATAAAAATTAAAACTGAATGACAAAGATTTTGCTTAAAGAATTGTATTTTTAAATTGGAGTTTTAAACAAAACCAGGTGCATTTGAAAATGTTTATTTTGATTTCTTTTTATTCACATTGTGTTGAAAATTTCTATAAATTTATACAAGAGAACATTTTTTAAAAATTTCAAATAAAACAACTTGAATGTTCAAGAAACAATCAAAATCGCAATAACTTTGAAATTATCTTAATCCTTAACAATATTCAAAATTATTTTTTAATGAGAGAAATAACTTTACATAATATAAAAATTGCAAGCATTCTTGATACATTTGGTTTATAGTAAAGATTTTTGAAAATTTTCCTAAAGAATTCCCAAAAATTAAACTACTAATAAATAATTGTATTCTGCTAAGTTAAAAATATAAATTATTTATACTTTTTATAGTAAGAACATACAATAAAACATTGTCATTTACATTTGACATTTATATTTATTGCACAATGATTAAGATTTTCATTTAAATATGGATACAATAAATATTTACATACAAATTTATAAATGGTATACAGATGATCTGTGATCAAATTTCATGTATACTAATATATAATGTTTAAATCATACTAAACAGAAATGTGATGAATGTTTAAAATATTTTCTTCATGAATATACTTTATTCCAATTATATCCAAGGAAGAAGGGATGTGATTTGATATCTTCTACTCCATGTGGTCCAGAACCTAATCTCTCAGATACATTATACTTTAATAACTATAAAAAAAATTAAGTTTTGAAGCATAAATTCTCAACTTAATTTGTTTGAAAAATTGTTTTTAAAATTCTAAGTTAAAATTTTTACCTTTATTATTAAATCACGTGCTTCCACAGAAATGTGAGTGGGAATAGTAATGTTTGAATGGGCTGTAATTCCTCCAGGATGGCAAGAAACTAAAGTCTAAATATAATAGAATGCAATGTAGCTTCAAACATTAACAATAAATACTTTTGTTGATACTAACCCTTCCTGTTAATAATTCAAACATCAGTGCACCCACACTCCACCAGTCGCAAGCAAAAGTAACAGGAAAAATGCCCCCAACTTCTAAATATATATATTTTACATTAATAAACAATTTTTTTCACATTAAAAATTATTTACAAACATTTAAATAAAATAATTTAAATAGATCTTCTATTTTTATTTCTGTTTAGTTATTTTATCAACATCAAATAATAATAAAGAAAATATTTTATTTCAATGATACTTTGTATTTAAAGACTAAATCTAAACCTAAAAAATCTTTACATTTAAAGAGATTACTCATTATTAAAAATTCACATAACATTATAATATTTTAGCTAAAAATTTCCATTAATAATGTTAATTTTAACTCCTTTGTTAATCATACCCCATCTTATAAACAGCCAATATGAAGCTTTAATTTAACATTATTTTGATTGTTGAAGTTTTTTTGAAAATTTAATGAAGAAAAGTGATTTAATAACAAAACACACAAAGTTTTTTTTTATGTATTTAAAAAGATTTATAAAAATTTTGTTCTTTTAAAGGAAAAGCAAATAGTTATTTTTTATAGAAAAATACAAAATAAACAAACAGTTACTATGATCCTTATAAAATGTGTAAGTGTATAAATTCTAACTTTTGTTTTTGTAGCAGAACCACATAGTATTTGTTACCTGGAGCAGCATAAAGATTTTCTTTAGCATGCCTGTTGATGACTTGGTCCATACAATTCCAACTACTCTGATATGTCAATAATATATGACCTGAAGATATAATAAAAATTTTAAACTAAATATATTACCAATTATTTAATTTTTAAAAAAAAGATATTTACCTCTTTCTCCCAACAGAATATTATCTGGTCTCAAATCTCTGCAGAAAATATTATTTCTGTTATGTTATAAATTTATCTAAAATGTATTTTTAAGCAGAAAAATTTAAATTATTTTTTAATTTATTATAAAAATTAACAGACTAATAATAATTTAATATCATAATTCATGTTTTTATTGCAAAGAGTGACAGATAATCTTCAGACAGAAGACTAAAAGTATCTGTTTTAAAAGAGGCTTGTTTGAATTCAAACAAACATTCTTGGTAGAAGATTCTTAGAACATAGACATATACACTGCTGGCCATCCAAAATGCAACATCCTGAAGGAAGCATCCAAATCAAGTAAAATTTGCACCATGCATTTGTGGTGACGAGATATGCAAATGATTAGCATTTCAGCGCAGACACACATCACAGGCGCCTGTTGTGCCACCTGCAAGCACTATATAAAGAGAGAATAGAAGGCCGTTTTGAAGTACTGGAATTTTCTTTTGTGCATTTTTTTGGCGTAAGCAGCTTCAGTATGCCATGCAGAAGAAAACAAGCATCTTTTCAGCATGTTTCTGAATTAGACTGAGGAAAAATAGTTGCCTATAGGGATTGCAGATTATCCTTCAGAGAAATTGGTGATTGTGTCAGATGTAATCAAACAACTATGATGTTAATCTGTAACCGCTGGATGCAGGAGGAAATGACGGGACCGATTGCACCACTGTACATGATGACAGACATATCGTGCGCATGGCAGTGATGGATCGCTGTGCCACATCACAAACCATATCACAACAAATTTGGTCTGTTGCACAACAATTGGTGTCCACGCGTACCATTCGATGTTGTTTGCAGCAGAGTGGAATGTCTGCAAGGCGTCCATTGCTGCGTTTACCATTGAGTCAAAACCACAGGTGTTTGTGCCGGCAATGGTGCGATGAACGACAGACATGGACAACCAAATGGAATGACATTGTTTTCACTGACGAATCCCACTTCTGCCTGCAATACCACGATGGTTGGATTACAGTCTGGAGACACTGTGGTGAGAGACTGCTGAACTGTTTCCTTATGCATCGCCATACTGGTCTTAGACCCAGTATTATGGTTTGGGGTGGTATTGGATTCAACTCCCACACCCCCTAGTACGCATTGCCAGTACACTGACCAGACAGCGCTATATCTCTGAGGTGTTGGAGCCTGTTGTCCTCCCATACTTTCAGAGCTTGCCAATGGCCACATTCCAACAGGATAATGTGCAACCACACATGGAATGCATTGCTCAAGACTTCTTCTTCGCTTATCAGATTGCATTGCTGCCTTGGCCTCCTTGTTCTCCTGATCTCTCACCTATAGAAAATGTCTGGTCTATGATTGCAGAACAACTGGCCCGGGATACACCACTCACTGCTACACCAGATCAACTTTGGCAATATGAAGCAGCATGGAATGCTATACCCCAACATATCCAAAGCCTCTTTGACGCAATGCCAAGGTGTGTAGCAGCAGTTATAGCCAGCAATGGCAGTAACACTCCATACTGATTCCATCATCTTCCTCACTTCACAAGAGACTATATTTTCAATCATTTGATCTTTGTACAATGTGTTATCTCCCAAATAAATTTGGCTATGATATCTCTGGTCCTTCTTGATGTTGCATTTTGGATGGCCAGCAATGTACTTCTGAAGATGGATGTTTGTCAAAGTCCAAAAGTACTCAGGTGTATGACAAATAGTTAAAAAGAAGCAAGTATTCCAATAAAGCAGAGATAGTAGTTAATAAAAATTTCTTAAGAAAATTTCAAAAAACAATAAGAATCAAATATTGAAAATAAAGTACTATAAAACTTAGAAACAATTATTAAATAATTTTTAGTTCTTAAAATACTTCTAAATAGAAATATTCAACCAGAAATTATTTAAAAAATAATTCTTAGTGAGATCAAATTACTGTAATTTGTTTTGAATAGCCTACAATCACAAACCTGTGCAATAGCTTTTCCTTTCTCTGAACTTACCCAGTATTTTTAAAAATCATAAAAAATTCTTTTATGTGCCACACATATTCATATGCCATTGCAATTTTTCCAGAAACTACCAAAGACATGCATGCATATGCTTCATTGTTAGTTCACTCCCATTTTCAATGTGGCAAGCATATTTTGTATTTAATTTTTTGCAAGTTTCTTATTATTATTATTATATATTCATAGTCTGTCCAATGAAAGATGAACCTTTTAAAGTTATTTTTGATGCACGGTTAGTCAGTTTTATTGACAACTAAGATATATAACTATAACTAAAATATGCTAGTAGACTATAAACTCTTGTTCTTTTCATTGCTATAAAGTGAATTTTTAGAAATAAATTAATTATATATGTTTAAAACATTATTATTACTTTTACCACGTAACATTTTTTTGTTTACACACAACAATACTACTTTCTCCCATTTTGCCAAACTAAATCAAAACTAAAGTTGTTGTCATTACTATTTTGATTTATTTGCTTCATTTTTAAAATTCTACAGTGTAGAAATCTATTTCATTTTAATTAAAATAGCATTTTTATACAATTTAAATTATTATTAAATATCTTCAAATTTAGATTGCTTTTTCTGAAAGCTTAAGTTTATTAGTATACAAGGAACATCTTTTTGGCCTATCTTAGGCCAAAATCAGCTTGTATATTCAAATGTTTGAAAAATGGAACATCCATAATGAACAAATCAAATAATATTTACATTTAAAGTAAAATAAAAGTAACAATAAAATATTTTATATATCTAGAGTCTTCCAAAAAGAAAGCTACCATTTTAAATAATTGTAAATATGTTAATTATCTGAGAAAATTGTAATGTACATTAAAACATTTGAAAAATGTACAAGTTTCAGATTTACCCATTACAGTTTCTCAAAGTGTGCATCTTATGTCACAAGACACACATCCAGCTGATATTCAAATTCTTCCTACACTTACTATAGCATATCTGTTTTCACTCCTCACAGCTGCCACAATCCAACAGCTCCTGCAGGTTACTCATGTTGGGCAACAATGAACGATTCCAACTTTGCAAACTATAGAACACAAAATGCCTTTTCTGTTGTGGCATCATCATTTTTGTTTATGGTACTTCCTAGAGGTAGTAGACAACATGTTTGAATGCAGATGGGAGATGAAAAGCAGATAGTTACTCTATCGACTGGTGTGCATCATATACTTCTCAGATAATAATTAACATAATTACAGTAATTTAAAATAATGACATTCTTTTTGAAAGATCCGATATATATATATATATACATACTTATTTTGAGTAGATCTAATTATTTATAATTTTCATATATAATTACTCATTAGTATTATCTTCTAAATGTTCAACTATTACAGTATTTGACAGTTAAAAATAAAATTACTCTGAAATAATCAGTTGTATATCACTACCTGAAAAACCACTTTGTTCTAGTAATACTTTTTTAAATTTTGAGAAACTGTTTAAAAGTTTAAGAGAAGTACCATATTTCTGCATGTATTTTTCGCATCCATATTTTCAAGAAATGTTTTTTGGGAAAACACAATATTCAAGTATTTTTCATGTGGAAAATGCAAGATTTCTCACACTGAACTGTCTCACACTGAAATAGGACATGAGTCAGCCAACAAGAATTTTTATGGTAAGTGCTTTGTTTAGCCTCATTTCCTTGTATAGGCTTAACTGTATGGTATCTTTGTACTTGTTGGAGGCTATGAGGGTGGGGATACATCTGTGGATGGGGAATAAGGGTAGTTGTTAATTGTGATGCTTTATACTTGGTAGCATTTTAGTAGCTTCCTTAGGGTATGTCCTATGTGGCAACATCCAGTGACCGCAAGCGGAAAGAATCTTTGTATGCACATACAACTTGCAAGCAACTTCAGTCCAGAGTGTATGTGTGTTGTTTACAAACTGGTGGCGAGACAATTTTGTTGAATGCTTGCTATGGAAAATATGAAAAAAAAAATCCCTAAAACCAATCCTAGATCAAAATCTGTACCCTGGTGGAATGACGGGCTCACTGACCTCCGAAAAATGAACACTTACCTGCGAAGACGATATCAAAAGTGTCGATATGAACCGAATCGTGCTATATATAAGCAAGAATATTATGCACATCAAGTTGTCTATAAAAAAGAAATAAAGAACGCTAAAATACAATCTTGGCGTAATTACTGCACTGCTGCCTCATCCAATCCATGGGGATACCTTACAAAATTATGTACGAATAAGTTACGAAAGCAGCAAATATTAATANCTTAACCTAGATTATATATTTTAATTTATATGAATGTTTAACGGAATAATATACAGCCTATGTCCACCCTGAAGTTCCATTCTAAATATTGGTGAAAGAATTTTTGAAATCGGATGAGTAGTTTCGGAGATTACCCGTACATCCAAACTTACAAACATTACCTCTTTATAATATTAGTATAGTTTTCTTACTCAATATATTGTGATTCGATGGAATGTTGTCTGTTATCATAAACTAATAAACAGAATATATTTTTTTCTTGTCTTTTTATATGTATGACCGATTTATCAAAGACTCTTATCACTTTTGACCCGTGAATTTTTTCACTTCGTTCTCTCTCTCTTGTTTATACTCTGCTTGTTGCGCATTACGATGGTCTTTATCTAACATCGCAAAATTCTCCAATTCGCGTACAATTAAGTTCACATTGGAATAGTGACTACATCCATTCGAACAAATGCAATTTTTTACAAAAGTTTTTTCTTTCGTTATTAACGTGCTGTCTCTAACCTTTATTTGACTAATTACTGTCATAGACTATTGATTATGTCCGGTACAAATGAAGATAGTTATTAATGGGAACATATCAAATGCAATAAGAAAGCAATAAATAAATAAATTCCGTCGACCACCATATTTTCCCTATGTTACATTAAATTAACAAAACATAAAAACTAAAAAATCTTTTCCCTCGATCTCTATTCAAGTTTTTTTTTTTTTTTTAAATTAGACAAATATTACCTGAAATCGTCATTGTTAATATTAATAAATAAATGATAAATTATCTTATGTACTGTACGTAAATATAAAGTTTAAATTAGGTTATATGTTAAG